TCAATGCCATGTCAATGCCCTGTCGTTGACCTTCGGAAGATTGGTCTCAGGATCATGTGCACGCAATCTGCCGCCGCATTGAAACAGCATTCCGTGGCACCTGCCCAGCGGTACAGAGCTGTTACTGGGCGATAAAGCTGTTTGCCAGATTCCATCTGCCTGCAAGAGCTGCGAACCTGCCTGAAGCCTCCGACGCCACAGGTGTCGATTGCCCTGGCACTTCCATTCACGGACAGGCACCTCACGCGAGGGAGGAAGTGTTTTGCGTGACTGTCTGTTCTTGTTCCCCATGTCGCGTGGTGTGTTGTTCTTTGGCGGGACCCATATGAGTCCGAGTGCCTGCCCCTCGTGGAGACAATGCCTTTCCACGTGCCTTGCTCGTCGATGGTCAAGCGATCGTCAAGCTTAGGGCTGGAAGCAGCTTGGCGCCTCGTTGTAGGCAAGCCCACAGGATGTTGACCCTGGCCCTGATACATGCCTTTGCGGGCTCAAGCCTGGGTGCAGTGTGCCAGCAGAGGGCGTCACATCCAGGATCTCCTACTACGCTGGCGCTGTGCCACAGCAGCTGAGATCCTGTTGAAGTCCTTTGGGGCGACAGTAGTTGATGCCGCTTTGGTGTTTCGATCGTCCATGTCCCGTGATGCTACCTGGCGGTGCATGGTGCAACATGATTTCACACCGCTCTTGGTTTCATTTTGGGTTAGAGCTCCTGGTCTCACAGAAAGACATTGTGGAACTTTGTGTGTGCAAGCCCGCACTGGCTCCAACCGACATACCTTGCTGCAAGCGTCGCAGCAGGACGATGACAACCAGTGCCCCGAGCATAGCCGGGGAACAGCTACAAGCGGCTTTCCAGTTGATGAATACATCCTGTTGGCTGCGCTGACTCTACACCAAGGCCAATCAACGAAAGAAAGAGGGTTTATACATAGTGTAGTTGATCTAAAGTCCCATAATTTATATGAAAGGCCAACTGCATCGCTCATATATCTTCACGAATATTCTTTGATGGTGCTAAGCAAATTAGGCATTTTTACGGAAATTAACTATTTATCTTACTTGTCGTACTACTATTATTATTAGTATTATCACTTCTACCATTACTATTCTAATTACAATTGAATTATTTGTATTTTTTTAGAATTATTACTATTATTATTTTAATTTATATTGATTATATTTATGATATTACTTGGATTATCATCGCAAAAGTTAGTACTAGTTAGTCTTTAGTTTCTACTAAAAATATCTGGATTGATTCAAGAATCTAGTAGTTCTTTTGAAAAATTAAAGAAGAAAGGAGGCTTAATTCTCTCTCCCCTAAATTTATTTTATTTATGAGCGAAATAATATTTATATCGACAACAATAATATTTGAGATATAGAATAAAATATAAGAAATTAATTTAGATAAAATCTCAATCTTTGCGCGATCGTTTTTATATTGGATTTAAACATTATAATTAAGAATAGTGGCCATAAAAAGAGTAATGATAATTATAAGAAGAATCTCTATAATATATGGTATTGGTGCTGAATCCATTCTGATTTACGATCTCGCCCTGGGAGTGATTGACAATCTCATAACGAAGAATCTTCTCCGATAATCCATGAAATCCGCGGTGGGTTTTGAGAGCAGATAGAGTAGCCTTCCATTTGTCGCTCACAAAAATGTCTCCCAACATGGAAAGGTTCGTTTTCATCTCCTGGTGTCCACGTGGTTTTCCGTCATGTGCATCTGCGGCGTTCTTCAGGATGCAAAAAAATATGCCTTGATGTGTCCGTGGAGCACTGCACCCCACAGCCATCTTTGATCACGTTCAGGGCGTCCGGAGCGTGAAAGAGCACCTGGTCTCTTTATTCAAATACGTCTCATCTGCTATGAAAATACGTGCATTACCAGCATACTTCAAGTGCATCTTCTTGGGCTTCTTGAGTGAGGTTGACGAGGATGAAGGTCTCTTCAAGGACGAAGCTGGTTTCTTTGCGGGTGCCGTACGAGAAGAAGGCTTCTTCACAATATGATAAGCAGCAGCAAGTTTCTTGGTATTGACTTTTCCAACAGAAGGCTTTCGAAATAGCTCTTGAGATAAAGCACTATCAAAGCCCTGATTCATCTGCAATTGAAATCAGCTGCTCAGAGTTCCTTGGAAGGAAGCAATCCAGGAATCGATGCTATCATATCGTGCTGGATGGAGATCCCGAACAATTTGTTGACGAGGATACGCCAAAATCCACATAACAAAGCACTCCAACTTTGTCATCCACAGGCACTGCTTGACATGATGAAGGAAACCGATGGAAGCTGCCTGATACTGTTTATCACGGCAATCCCCGGAAGCTCCAACGTAAGCAAATGAAGCCGACATTGGCGTGCGTCATCAAAATTTGGCGACGTATATAGATCACGGCCCAACGTGGGCGAATTCTGACTACATGCGTATTCCATATTTTGCATATATGGAAGGTATATATTTTGCCATATATACCACCCAGTGATTTGCGGCATATCATTAAAGTCGCAGGGTGAAGACGATAACAAGCAATGAAAAGACAGAAATTTAAACGAAAACCATACACTTGCAAGACTGGCCTCCTATATTGTCTCAAGGTCGCTCGGTCAAGGCAGCAAGCTTGGATACAATTTATATAGTCAGGTTCGATCAAAAGCCCCAAAGCTTTCGGTCAAGCTCGATCGGTCAAGGCAGCAAGCCTGGAAACTTAAGTTTGCCTATATGTTCAGTCAGGTTCGGTCGGCCAAATCCGCAAGCACAAAGGTTTCGAACCAAAGCAGCAAAATGTTCAGCCGCTTGAGCCGTTTGAGCCAAACTTATTATCATAGGGTTGCCGCAGGGTTCTGGTTTTTAAGGTGAAGGGCTTTGGGTGTATTTCGAGATCGGGGCTTTATTAAGTACTCGGGGTTTTAAAGGTTTAAGGTTTCGGGCTCTTGCAACGTTGAAGTTGGGGCAAAACACTTGGAATACTCAGGGCATGGATCGTCGGTTTTCTATACGAGAGTCGGGCGAAGGAATAGGTTTTGGGGGCGCTGGTATGGTTGGTAGACTCCATCATTCAGGGCTTCAGTCGAGGCCATATAGATTAAGGTTTAGGGCTTTAGGGTTTAGGGTTCGTACATGGTGTTGAATTCCCTAACAGTATACGTAGCATGACGCATACCAAAGGTTTGCCGGCCTTTCGGGTTATGCTTTGGGCTTGTGGGCTGCGAGGGTTTGGGATTTCAGTGGTCAGTGCAGAGCTGCGGGCACTTAAAGGCTAGGATACAGACCTCAGACGTGGAGATTGTTAAACTTGGTGGTTTGCAGCTGTATTGAGGCAGCTTGTTTGTAGGCTTTAGGGTTGAACACAGCCCGGATATACCCAAATCATCCCAAACCCCTGAATCCTTTAAACGTTGCTTGGAGGATCATGGGCCTTAGTAAGCTAAGGTCCTGAATTAGGGGTACAAGTAGTTATCAGTACACTTACTTTAATCATAATCCCAGTCCCATGATCCTCCAAGAAACCCTGAAACCTAAAACCCTTAAAACCCTGAACCCCTGAAAGCACCGAATGTCCCGTGCGGGGTTTCCTGTACCGGGTGTAAAGAAGGGTTTAGGGTATTTGGGATTGCTTTGGGGTTGACAGTCCCGGTTTTGAGCTTTATACCGGTTGAGCTCGAGGATGCGCAGAATTTCTTAATTTCGGTTGTAGGGTTTTCGACGTTGAGGGGTTCATTGCAGTTTTTGGGTTTTGGGTCCCCGGTTGACTATTCGAAGGTGCATGGTCTATGTCTAGACATTGGAGCCTTCGAACCATATTAGGTTTTTCCAGGGCTTAGGTTTTTCGAGAGCCTTATAAGTGTTCAGATAGAGCAGCTTTGGGTTTTTTGGGGCTCGGGTTGTTGGTTCAAGGTCTATATCTTCTTTTCGGAGCCTTCGAGTCTCTTTTTTTTTGGGTCATGTCTAGATATCGGAACCTTTAGAGCTCGAGGCTTCGCGCTTCTCGTCAGGTGCTTTGGGGTTTGGCGCTGCGGGTCTAGGGTTTTAAGTTTTCGGGCTTTGGGCAGCTTGGTGTTTGGTTTACAGTTCAGAGGTCTATCCAGCTCGGAGCCGACCTGGGAACTTCAAGCAGCCCTTAGCCCCCAATAATTCTCCCCTATAACGATGAAACCATGCTGCAGTTCGACCTGTATGCTCAAGCTTTAACATTGTGCGGACAACAGTTCTATTTTGCAAATGCTGCTATTACCGTTAACGTGAACATGTACAACTACAACCGAAACAAAACCCTAGGGCCTTGGACCTTATAACAAATTCCCCCCAGATCCTCACAGTTAACCTTTCAGCCGGCACCCACGCTCAGCTATGCGCTCTCTGCACATGCCCATCGGGCACTGGATTCCGAGCTGCAGATATATCCAGCGAAGTCCGGAAAGTCCCTCGAAGCTCTGCAGCATTCACACAGATAGGCGAAGTAAGTATCGACTCATAAGTCGAAATTCCATCAGCTGACCTCGGCAATATTTGGGTTTTGGCTTGGGGCTACGTTGCTATATCATTGCAAGTTCGGGTTTAGGGCAAGGATTAAAGAGGAATTCGGATTGGGGTCGAGGGTTTAGGGCTGGATTTGGGTTTTAAAGCTCGGGGCAATTAATTATGGTTTAGGGCAAGGTTTCGGTTTTGGCTCAAACTCACAGATTCGGCCCGCGAATGATTTGCGGGTACATCGCCAGCTGTAGGGTTGGCTCAGATCATATAATTTATATCGAGTTTGATTTCAACACGTGAACAAATGACATTAATTCGAATCACAAGTCGGATGCTATATCTCGAGCCAAGGATCTGGGTTGATTTTGAGCTAACCTTTTCCACTGGCCAATGCAGTCCTCATCCAGGTAGCAGTGGTACGATCTCGGATTTTCCAGGAAGGTGCTGCAGTGCTCGGAAATGTGGCGAAGCATCTCAGCTCATATATATGCTACCGGGTACAAGCTATTGTAGTTAATCGTTTGCCTCATCGAGCAAAACATGTTGTTTAACTACAAAAAAAGTACCTGCTGTTTGGAAAAATACGGAGCGGATTTGCACTCTGGCGGCATGATGTTTGGGCAGCAGTTTCCATCTGAGCGTCGCAGCTTGAAGAGCAAGACGAGCCAATCCAGACGTGAGTCTGAGAAACGTGTCTGTGCACTCCATCAGCCGACGTGCTGCAGCAGCTTCCACGAATCGTCTGTTCGATGACTCCTGTGTTTGAAACCATTGCACCAGTGATTGGCTAGCTGCGGATGCAAGCTGCACTTCGCGAGTGGTTGTCCCAGCACACAAGGTTCGCAAGCATACATGAACGAAAGATAGGAAGATCCGTCCATTGTATGCCTTCAGCGTTAGGCACGGAAAGGCACCCAGAGCAGTATCGTGCATCATCCCAGGAGTAATGATGCCGACACTGTGCCGCATTCCAGCTGCTGAAGCGAACCTCTTGAACCTCAGCGAAGCCTCGTGGAGAGCGGCGTGCACATCCAGAGTCCCGAAGAAGTTCTGCTCGATGAGCAGCTGCAAGCACGAGCCGTTGTGCACTTGCAGAATTCCAAGATTCACGATGTGCATCGTGCACGGTTTCAGCTGCCAGCGAGCATCGAACCAAGAAAGCTCGCTTAGTGGATTCTTCAATGAGCCCATGGCATTGTCCAGAATGTCCTGCCGGCTGCGTCGCTGGTACTGCTTTGTAAGGTCCATACCAAACGACTCAGGTCCAGTTTTCTTCGCTCGGCAGAAGTTGCATAGCTGGTTTGCACCGTAATGGGCTGTGAGATTGAAGAACTCTCTCTGGAATTTCCAGTCTCCCCGAAATTCAGCCACCACAGCTGCTCCGCCTGTAGGCATCGATCCACGACGGATACCGGACAAAAAATGGTTTAGGGTTTTAGGGTTAGGTTTCCAGTATACTTATAAGATGGGGTAAAGGGATGAAGGGTGATTATGTTAGGGTTACAAGTGCACCCAAAGTTTTAAGGATGATTACAAATAGAATTAACAACCCTGAGCCCTTAATTTGAAGTTTCAATTAAGACTCCCAGCATACTGGGGATCGGCCTGACAGAGACTGGCCGGCCCTCTTGGCCATTGTGCTGCCCTTCAGCAGCTCGGAGTTGTTGAACCCACGTGTGGGATTGACTCCCGAAGCCAAGACCTAGACTAGTTCGACAAGCCCTGATCCCCACCTGATATCCTGGTATCCCAAACCCTAAATTAAAAACATCCCTGTTCACCAATAATCATTGCAAGCTGCTTCGAAGCTCCAAGCAAACAGCTTCAGCAGAGGTGTCCATGTTTCCAGTCCAAAGGATATGTATTCCCGCACTGTAGCCACCGGGTAGCGCTTCATTTGGCCGCCTTGCATATAGACGACTGTCTGTGCAGAAATCCCGAGGGTATACGTTAGACTATTGTAATACACAAACCTTGTCGCAATATGTGCAGCGAGATTCTCGAGGGAGTGTGCAATATCACGTTCATGGAGAACATTGTGATTTTGTCATTGTTGTTGCGATTGTAGTGAGCGTCATCCCCATAAAATCCCAGGACTTGCGTGTTCTCAGCTCTTCCGAATGGCTCCTCGCCTAGGCCGTCGGCCACGGAATCCCAGTATTTCTTCAAGTCACTCGGTGCAACAGAAACACGACCAGTTTCCTCAGCTGGGGTTAACATAACCACATATCAGGATATCGATCCTTAAGGTGTAGACCTATTAAGCCCTTTCGACCTGGAAGGTCTCCAATATGAGTTTGTGTAATAATACAAAATACTATACCAAAAAAAACTTGGATTCTTGTACACATGTCGAGAAACCACCAAGAACTGGTAGAGCTCATGGGGCAGAACACAGGGTAGTTGCATTGTTGTTCGGGTTTTTCTGTCGTCTGGATCTTTGATTGGCACCGTGACATAGTGGAGGTCCTGCAGAGGCTTGGGTCGTTGTGTTCTTTTCAGATATGTAGGTTGTACTCAAGCTGAGTTATTAAGACACCATATGTTTGTGTACTGCATGTGTTAGTGCAATCGAGCTGCAACCGGCAAGGCCAAGGCCCGTGCTATGTCTCGTTGGCAATTTTGTCTGTGCCGTCCATAATTTCCAGCTTTGGCAATTCTATGGGTGAGAGCACTAGCTTGGCCTTTAGACTCGCGAATCATAGCCATAGCCGATTCTTGTAGTCCAGCCGCTGACGATGCCTTAGCTATAGCTTAAAGCGCTCTAGACATGGCACTTAAGGTTTACCGTTTTATAATGGGTCGATACATGGTTATTTGTTGTTGCTTCTTATTCTATGTGTATATAGATATATATGAGAGATGGTGATATACTTGTTAAAAAATAAAAACCAATACATAATGTATATATATATATATACATACACAATATATAGGTTAATCATATTGGCATCCGACTTCTAATATATTTTTAAGTCGGATGTCAATATGACTAACCTTCTTTAAATGCAAATTGTCTATGTTACGTTCTTGCACTTCGGCACTTGGGTTGAGGGTTGCGAGTTGTGGTGCACATATGTAGCAGAAACCCTAAAATCCGAGATCTAATACTGACCTGAACCCCCACATGTAGACCTTAGAGCCTTTAAAGCCAGCTAAAAATCCGGATCCCAAAAACCTAAAGCCCTTAAGCTGTAGCAAGTCCCGTATACACACAGTATGTGCGTTGCCTCGTATGTGCCTTGCCTCATATATGTGCATTCCATTAAAGGCATTTCCTGCTAATTATAAAGCCCCCAATGCTCAACCCCAGTCCTCAGTAACCAGGCCATATAACCTGATTAAGAAACCTCGGGCCTATAACTTTAAATGCATATAATTTATATAATGAAATCATATAACGTTAACGGCCCAAGATTTCTTAATCTGGTTCCTACTGAAGCATCTAAGGACACTTCCGAAAACTTTTTCAAAACCCAAAAACCCTGAACACCAAACCCCTATAAGGGAGCAAAGGAGAACCAGGGAGCTCCGGTGCCCAGGGATCTGAGCAAGTGGTCCGCAAATGCAGTTGAATCGCCTGCGTGGGCACAACAATCGGAATAATATTAGGATAGGATATCAGTAATGCAGTTGCACTTGCGTGCAACATCTGCCCTAAAGTTCACGACACAACATTTCTCGTCCGGGCTCTGCGCTCGACAGGATCACAAGATCCCTGCAGCCACATCGCTGCAAAGCTACAGGCCGGCAGTTTGGTGTCTACAGCCAGTGGTTGCCTGGTTTGTACATCTAGCAGCAAGACATATCAAGACCATGCCGCCGGCTTGCAAGCTAAGCAGACTACCTAAAGCCACAAGGCTACACCCGCCGTAAAGCGCTGAGAATGTTGAAACTAAAGGCTTCTCAAGCCTTCCTTCCCACTCTACTCACAAACACACTTTTCTCACTTCGCGGGCTGACTTGCTTAAGCCTCCGTGTCGCGGTTCACACACATGTTTCATGTGTTCTCGTGATTACTTTACACACTCTACTTGGGACTACGTGCACTAGGTTACAAACGAACACCCCGCCTCAGAAAGTTCTTGCGGGTTCCTAGGGTGTTCTTGGAAACTGCTAGGGCTTTCTGTACAGTGCTTTTGCTAGGGACTTTCGTCTCCATTCTTCCTGGTCTTTTACCTAGCTGCACTCCTGCCCTGTTGCTACTTAGGCCTTCTATGTCTGTACATTGGCCTTCCTGAAAACCTACTCTGTATGTACAGCTACGTTCTAGTTAGGTCCAGCCTATGGACTCTTTGCGGGGAGGCCCGTACCCCGGTTTCCTTCTGCCCTTACGTAGCCTACGGGCTTTTCTTCTTTCGGGCTTCTTTTCTTTGTTCTTGGCTTCTCCGGCTTCTTGCCTCTTCTGGCCCTTGTACCTTCCTAACCTGCCTCTTGTGAAACTTCGTGTGAGACTTTGGAAGGTTGTAGCTTACCTAGGCTTACTGCCCCAGTTTGCTACGTCTATACATTTGCTCACACTTTGTACATGAATTCTTGTGCTAGTATACATCAAGTCTTACGTTGCCTAGCTATGTACATATGTACAAGCGTTCACTGCTTGACCTTCTCGATCATCCCTTCTCGGGATCCTTTCACTGGGTCTGTACCCAGTTCTTGGACTTCTTGCCTTTGCTCTTTCCTTTGGGTGTCCACTGCTCCCACTGGTTCTGCTGCGCCCACTCTTCTGGCGTCTGCCAGTAGCCTTTGTTCTGTGGGTTCGCGTTCTCGTACCAGTTGCTGCCGTCGTCGGTGGTGTTCCAGTTCTCGTTGTTCCACTGCTCGTTGTACCACCAACTGTCGTTCTGTCCGTCGTCCCAGGAAGGGCCTTTTCCCTTCGTTCCTTGGTTGTCGTACTTGCCCTTCGCGTGGATGCGTCGCTGCACCTCTTCCTCGATCTTCTCATTCTCCTTGGTCTCGAGGAATTTATCCAATTCCTTTCCGTCCGTAAACCAAACGTTGTGCCTTCTGTAGCACTCCGTCACCTTGTTCCAAAGGAGGCGGCCTTTCACCGGAGCGTTCTTGATTCTTGTGCTTCCTTTCTTGTCCTCGCTCTTCGCGCGGTACTCTTGCGTCTTCTTGTTGAACTCCCACACGTAGCCAAGCTGCGTGAACTCGGCTATGTCGTTCGGGTCGAAGGTGTTCTCGTCTCCTTGGTTGCTTGAGGGCTTCTCTTCTGGGTCTTCTGTCTCTACCTGCTTTGGCTTCTTTCCTTTCTTCTTCTCTTCTTCTTTTGCCTTAGCCTCTGCTTTCTCTTTCTCTTCCTCTGCTTTGGTCTTGTACGCTTCGTCTGTCTCTTCTTCACCTTCACTTCCAGACAAGACTGCACCTATGGTTTCCTTGAGGCTTTTGACCTTCTTCTTGTACTTCACGATCCTGTCCTTAGCTGCAAGTAGAAGTGCGTCCACTTCCTGCGAGTAAGTTTTGAAGTACTGGTAGTCGTCCTTGAGGCTCTTGTAGTCGTACTGGAGGTCGTCGAGCTTTTGGTTCCTTACTTTCTCTTCTTGCTTTAGCACTTTAAGCTCTCTCTCCAAGTCCTTCTTTACGTCGTCCACGTACTTCTTGGCGTACTCTTCTCTCTCTTGGTCGTAGCCGACGGTTCTTTCCTGAGCTTTTCTCTCTCTCTTCTCTGCCTCTTTGTTCTTCTTCTCAACCTCTGCTTCCTTTGCTTTGACGTTCTCCTCAGCTTCTTCAAGGGCTGTCTCCTTCTCGCTTAAGGCCTTGGCTTGCTCTTGGAGGATTTCTTGGTCTTTCTCTAGCTTCTCTTCTCTCTCTGTAACTTTGTCTTCCTTTTCCTTCACCTCCTTCTGCTTCTTCAAAAACCTTTTCACTGTTTCCTCAAACTCCGCCTTCTGGTTTCCGAGCTCCTCCTTTTCCTTCTCCAGGCTTTCCTCAACTTTCTTCAACTTCTCTGCCTTCTCTGTCACTTCTTTCTTTGCCTCGTCGAAGGAGTCCACGTCGTAGTTCACCTGAGCGGCAGGAGCTTCAGTCCTCGCTTCTCTCTCTGCTTTCTTCCTCCTTCTTTTGTCTTCGGTTCTTCGTCTGCTTTCTGAGCTGCTGCTTTCTTCTTCTTCACTGCTGCTTCTCTCCTCTTTCTTAGACTTCTTGTGCTTCTGCGGCTTTCTCATCTCGTTGACGACAAAGTATGCCGCCATGCACACCATGGCGAGCGTCACCAGGACTTCCAGAAGCGACATGCTTCCAGGACTGCTTGGGACTTCTTTTGAGCTTGCTACTTCTTGAGCTGCGGCGAAAGGTACGTGTTGTACGTAAGCTGCCTCAGTCTTTGCAAACAAACTCGAAAGTGCAAACAACATGCTGCTCTTGTTCTTCATGATCTTCTCGAGTCTTCTCACCACTTGTGCTTTTTCTTCTTCTTCTCGCTCTTGCTCTCCAACTCTTCCTTCACTGTTGCACATGCCGATCATGTTCAGGAGAAACTTCACTCTTTTCGTGCTGAGAGGCTTTGTTCCTAGGTCTGCTGTGTTTTCCTTTGTACCAACTGCATGTACTGTAAGCTTGCCTTCTCGTATTGCTGCTTGTAACCAAAGTAAACGAATCTGCAGGTGCTTGACTCTTCCTGTTCCTTGGCGGTTTGTAATTCCGCGGCATGCGGAACTGTCCGTGTATGCTTTGAGTAGTACTCGTTCTCCTGTAAGGAAACGAACTGCTGCGTGCAAACCTATTCCTTCGCTTGCTGCTCCTGTAAGTGCCATGTATTCTGCTTCTGCTGAAGACAATGCTATTGACTTCTGTGTTCTGCTGTAGCTATAGAAATATGCACCGTCCAGGTAGAACATGGCGCAACTCACTGACTTCCTCGTCTGCTTGTCTCCGGCCCAGTCGGAGTCGCTAAAAACTTCGAGTAAACGTTCGCGTTGTTGTTCTTGAGGTTCTTGTGGTTCATGTGGTTCTTCTGCGCGATGACGTAGAGCTGACGTTCCTGGGCTGTTCCTGCGGTACGTAACGGCGTAGTCTGACGTTCCTTTGAGGTAGAGCGCCAAGTGCTCCAGTTCCTTTCTTTTGCGTTCTGTCGGTTTTGTCATGGCAGTACTTAGGCTGCGTACTGCGAACTGGATGTCCGGACGGTCGTGTGCCACGTACAGCAAAATGCCAACACAACTCCTGTAAGTTCTCGAGTGTTCCTCGTCCAGTTCTTGGGATACGTCAGGTTCCTGACTGGCTGGTGTACAAGGAGAGTTCTTGGCCTTCTTCTTCTCCAGCTTGAGGATCTCCATGAGTTTCTTCACGTACTTGCTATCGCTATGTACTCGTAGTTCATGATGTTCGTACGTGTACTTCCTTTTGAGAAACTTCACGGTCTCTTCAGAAAATCCTTTCTCGTAATCTTCTTCGTTCAGAAGAGGTCCTTCGACTTGTAAGTTCACTTTCTTCTTGAGGTTCTTGAGGATAGGTTCGATGACTTCCTTCTTGCCTGCAAACTGCAAGTCGTCTACATGTACAATGCAAACTGCAACCACTTTTCCTTGTCGTAGAAGACGGTAAAGTGCTGGAACTGCTGTGCAACGCTCAAACTTCTCTTCCATCAAAAGACCATCGCAAAAGTCTGACCAAAGACTGGATGCGTCGCGTTGACCTGGTAAGACTCTTCCTAGCTTCCAACACCAAGTTCTAGGGTTGCGTTCTGGTTGTTCCTGCATTGCTTGTACAACGTGAGCTGCTTCTTCAGGTACTCGACACAAACAAGGCGTTCGTTGAGGGACTTGTAGAAACGCGTCCTTCACGTCGACACTGTAGATCGCCCAATTGTTGGCGAGAGCCAACATGGGTACCAGTTTCGTAATTCCTGGGCTTGTTGCAGGAGAAAATATATCTTCTCTTTTTCCTTCTGTCTTGTACTCTCTTGCTACTAGCCTGGCTCGTCGCTGCCAGCATCTTTGAATCTGCTTGGGCTTTGTTGTTCCTGCTGTGGCTTCGTCAACTTCAAAACCTGTAGCTTCTCTGAACCTCCAATCTTTCACCAACTTCGTTGTCAACCACTTGTGAAGTTCTTGTTCTGAGTCTACCAGAGGTACGTTCTCAGTTGCTTCTTGAGGGTCCGTAGAAACCAAAGAAATAACTCCCATCTTTGTTAACCTCTTGATTTCTTTGACTGTAGCTTCATCATCCAACTTCTGAAGAAAATCTGGATCCACATTCGGTGGTCCTTTCTCCTCGTCGAAGAACTCGACAGGGACCTTGGTAAAAACTTCCGTTGGTTCACTCTCTGTCTCCTCTTCTTCTTCTTCCGACTCGTACAAAAACTCATCATCTGCTTCGTAGACTTCATCATCGTGAGGCATGTTGAGGTAACCGTCTGTTTCCTCTGCTCTGTTGACCTGCTTTCTAAGCTTGCTGGGTGAGCTTGGTTCCTCAGGCTCAAGACTGTGCTTGCTTGCTTCTGCTCTTGGTTCAGCTGGTGCTGCAAGTGCTTCTGCTGAGGCTGTGAGTGGTTCACCTGCTCTGAGTTCCTCCAAAAGGGTGTCATCATCAACCTCAGCTCTTCTCTTTCTGTCTCTCGTCACACTCATGCTGCTGCCTTCGCTTTGTTCCTCTCTGTCTTCAAGTGCTTGCTGTTGCTCTTCACTGCTATCCTCCGAACTCGGAGGGTCGCTCGCGGCCTCGTCGTTCTCGAGCTGTTCACGTTCTTCCTCGGCAACAGGGGGCAGGATGCTTAGCTGTGGTCGTTGTCTTTGCTTCTTCTCTGGAAGTACTCTTGCTCCAAGAAGTGGTGTGTTGAGGTTCCAGGTATGGACCTCTATGCTGCTTGTTCTCTTGGAGTCGTACTGTTCTGGTAGTGGTCTCACGCTGCGTGTGATATGTATACCATCAGGCTGTGCAACGATCCATGTGTCTTGCTCTGTCTTGCCTAAGAATATTCCTGCGTTCCATATCCTGTCACCTTTTCTTTTGATCTTCAACCTCTTCGCCATCACAACAGTACCAAAGGGTACAAGCTTCCCTGAGTAGGGGTATCCGTGGATAACTTCCTGTGGCGTTCTTCCTGTGGAGCTACTGACTGCGAACCTGTTGAGTAGCCAGCAGGCGTGTCGAAACGCCCAGCTTACTACTGCGTGCTCATGCGGTATTCCTAGCTGTGTTCTTTCTCTGAGCTCATCGAGAATAGTGTTCGCTTGCCTCCGTACTGTCTGTATTGCTCTTTCTGCGGCTCCATTGCTTTCGTGGTCGTAAGGAATGCTTTCCTGTAGTGTTGTAGAAAGTCCAAGGCTGCTGCGTACCTTCTGTACTTTGTCCTTAAGTGCTTTGGCTGCGTTCTCGTTGTCTGCTTTGAGAACGAGGGCATTGTACCCGAGCTGCGTGGTAAACTGCACGAGTGCTTCCGCGAGGTGCGTTGTGCTTCCTGCTCCTCCTTTCCTCTTGCAGGGCACTGCCAAGACTGCCTTACTCCAGCTGTCCACAGCGACAAGAGTCACTGCAGGTGGCTCTTCACTTCCTGTGGTGCTTGTATAGCAAAAGTCAAAACTGATTACGGGCTTCGCGGAATCCGTAGAGCTGCTTGGCTTGCTCAATCCTTTCTTGTGGTTGTCTTCTCGTGCTTTCATAGCAACGCAATGGGGACACCAAGGCTGATACGGAAGGTGCGTCAAGTTGTGGTACGCTCTCTCCTCTTCCGTTGGTTCCTGTGGTGGTGCTAGGTGGTATGCTTGGTGGTGTTCCCGTTGTTCCTTGTGTTGCGTGCTGAGTCTTTCTTCTCTGACTGCTGTGGCGAGTCTCTTCAAGAGCTGCTTCTTGCTTCCTGTGGTCTTGACTCCGTACTCTCTGCAAAGTGCTTGTAGCTCCTTGAGACTGCTTCTTTGTGCTGTGTACTCGACGCCTTCGTGGTAGAAGCTTTCCTCCAAAACTTCAACAACTTCTTGTGGTGCTTCTTGGTCTGCTTGTGCTTCTCTCATCTCATCATCTTTGCTCTCTTCCGCTGCTGGTGGTGCTGCTGAGTCTTCCTTCTCTTGGTAGTGTTCTTCTTTCTTCTTCTTTAGCTCCTCTGCTGCAGCTTCTGCCTTCAGGTCTTCAACAACTCCTGGCTTAACTCGAAACCTTGTTTGACCAAACCACGGCAACCGAAAGTGTTCACGTAGAGGTAGGCGGTCTGCTCTCCAGTCGTCGCTATGTTCGTAGATTTCTGTACTATAGATGCAGTCTCCTTGGGTATATCTGTTGTTCTCGAGGTCTCCAAGGAGGACAGGACAGTTGGAAACACCTGTCGGGTCGAACAAAACAGTTCTTGGTACTACGTGGTGACGAACAACTTCTCCCTTCTCAAGATCCATCTTCCAGTAGTCACGACCATGGCTTTCTTGGTCCGCTCGATCTCCAGCTGCGTAAGGAGTGCCACGGATCCAAAGTGGAATTGGCTTTGCTGAAATGGCTGTAACCACTTCCTTTTCTCCTTCACCAAACTCTTCGAAAGGGTCTGCCTTCTCGGAGTACTTTCTCGAAACTTCGACTGCTCTCCATCCTCTCTCTTCTTTCACCAAAGTGCTTCTGTACGGAAAGTGTGTAGGACTATACATGAGAGATGGGTTCTCATAGCTGCTTTGAGTAGCATACTTCACGGTCACCATGCTGTCAGTGTTGTGCCAACCAGGTTCTTCTTTGTTCACTGCTTCCTGAACGTGCTTGTTGAGTTGGACAACAGTGCGAACCATCTTGTAGTTGCTGCTGCTGTAACCTCTGCTTCTTGAAGGAGTTTGTACGTAGGCGTAGGCTGCCAAGCTGTTCTTGTGGAGATGCACTGGTATTCTTGAGTTTCCATCTGTAAGACACATACCTTCTTCTTCGTTAACTCGCAACTCCCAACCTTCTCGAAACAGCTTGCCTATGGCCATCAGCGGGTTGATCACCGAGGCAACGGTGAAGGCTTCCTGAATGCGACAAAAGCTTCCGTTGTCATCGAAGAACGTTAAGTTCAGCATCCTTCTGCCTTCCGTCTTTATTGCCTTTCCTTGTGCGTCCTGAATGGACGAAGGGCGAACCTTCAAAGGGGTTCCTTCCTTTCCTAGCCAAGAGGGCACAAGAGAAACGTCTGCGCCAGAGTCCAGGATAACTTCGATTCTTTGGTGTAGATCACTTTCCTGGAAAAACTCTTCTTCTACAGCGCGCACTGAAAGAACTTCTTGGGGTGGTAGTGCTTCACGTCCAAGGTACCAGTTCAGTAGAGGATCCTCTTGTTCTTCTTCGCTCTCTTCTCCTTCTGACAAAACAAACTCTTCAGCTTCCGTCACTCTCAAAACTCTTCCAAAGTATTCAATCTCGAGCTCTTCTTCGTCTTCATCAAGTTCGAAAACTTCAGGATACGTGACGGGATCGTCGTCCATGTGGTACATTGCGATCTGCCGGACTGTTGGCTTAGCTGTAGACTTCGCGCTTGTAGTTCTTGTTGTGGCTGCTGAAGCGCTACTGCTTGGAACTGTAGTCGGCTGTGTCCTGACGCTTTGCTCGTCATCCTCCTGTGCGTTCCTGACATTCTGCTGCATGTCTCTCTGCTTGAGTCTGCAATTGGCTTCGTAGTGTCCAGGCTTCTGGCAGTAGTGGCAAACACCAACTCCTGGGTTGTTGTAGCCTTTGCCTTTTCCTTTGCTGCTGTAGCCTTTTCCCCCGCCTTTGCCATATCCTCGGCCTCTGCCTTTTCCTTTTCCTTTTCCTCGTCCTTTTCCTTTTCCTCGGCCTTTGTAGTAGTACTGGCTTTCTCCTTTTACTTTTCCTTTGCTGTAGCCTTTTCCTTTGTGCTTGCCGAATCCTTTTCCTTTCTTTCCTTTCCCTTTGTCCTTTCCTTTGCCTTTCCACCATTCAACTCGTGAAACATCCATGTCTGCTTGTCCTTGGTGGTCCTTTCCTGAGTTGATGAGGTCTGTGGTAGTCCACCTTGCTGCTTGCTCGTAGGAGAGGAGGTACTGACGTAGCGTTCCATATCTTGTGGTCTCTTTCTGGTTGAGTAGAAGATGTTGTCTCATGTTCCCTTCAGTTCCTCCAAGAATGATAGAAATCTTCATATCATCCGCAACAAGGTCTCCACTCGCTCTCTCGTACTCTTCAATCAACTCCTCAAACTTCAAGATATTTTCTTGTGTTGACCTTTGCTTGTCGAACCTGTAGTGAAGAACTCCGTTAAGTAGTTGTAGAGAACGTGCACGATTGTGAGGTTGATGCTCCTCCACCAACAACCTCCATGCTTCGAAACCGTTCTCGTTGGGTACTTGCTTTAGAGTTCGTAGAGGACGGCCACGTGTGTAGCTGGTAAGAATGGAGTGTAGCTTTCTTGAAAGTGCTTGTTCACCTGAGTTAAGCTTGCTCCATTCCCATGATGCTTCTCTTCTGTCCATCTCGACTGCGTTGATCTTCTCAAGGATGTCGTTGTTGAGAGCGCCTATCCAACTTCTCAGCTTCAACCGAAACTCTAGAAAACCATCACGTTCTTCTTTGTACGTAGTAGGGCCAAATACTTCTGGAGATTTGATCATCTTGTGGAGGTCGATCTCTCCTGGCCTTCTTGACTCTGCATGCTGCGACAGTGCTGTGACTGCGTCTGCTGTAAGCTTTCCTGTTGCTGCAACCGCGTTTGCTGTAAGCTCTGCTTGTTGTGACAGTGCTGTGTTGGTTGCTTGGGTTGCTTCCGTAATTGATCTCTGCTGTTGTGAAACTGACTGCGCGAGTTCCTGTAGTTGTTGTGAAGCTGTACCTGCCTGCGCTTGCTGACTGTTCATTGCTTGGGCAAGTGCTTGTATCTGTTGTGTGTTTTGGGCAGTGAGGTCCGTAAGCCTTTGCAAGGCTTCCTCCATTGCAACTGCACTCTGCATGTGACTGTAAAGAAACACAACATGCAACCAGACTCGCTTCCTGAAAAGAATGCTGCAAACTGACCTGTGCAACTTCCTTCTCGAAACCTTCTTCTTCAACTGTTCTCTTTTTGTTTGCTTAACTCTGACCCAAAAATAGAGGTAGATCCAAGTGACCATACCGAGCGGGGTCCCAAGTAGAAGTAGTACTGGGTGACACGTGCGCACGACGTAGCTCACGACGGGCTCAAGGCTTCTTCCTGCTTTCGCAAGGTACTCTTGAAACTCCAAAACCAACTCAAACACAAGGTTCTTGTAGTAGTTCACGTGGGGCACTTCTTCGTTCTTTAGGTTCTCGTTATACTCCGTGACATCACCATCATGAAAACTGTAGTTGCAACTTTGTTCTTTTTCTTCTGTTCTTGTAGAACTCGGAGTACGCGTTCGTCTTCTTGAGGTAGCTCGTGACGTTGATCTCGTTCTCGGTTTGGTATTGGGCTCATGTACATGCGACCACAACGTGAAAAGCTCTGTGTGATCACCTTCTTGGCTCATCCCGGCAGGTACAACATCCGCTGGGGTAATCTCCTTTATCACATGCTTCTTCTTGGGGTTCTTGTTGTCGAGGCTGAGGACCTTGTTCCTGTAGTTCAGCATGCGGTTCGTGGCCAACGGGTAGCCGTAGGTCTCATTCACTTCAAAAACCATGAACCATGACATGCCCATGAGAACCACAACCATGAAGACTTTTAGCCAAAGGTACTTTCCTGCTGCTTCCAAAAAGGTTCTCTTGTACTCGAAGGTGCGTTGTTCCCGGGATCGGAGTCCGCCGGGACAGCAGTACTTGCATGGTAGTACTCGGTGTACGCTGGTTGCGTTCCTGAGGCCATGACATCTTCCTGAGGTGTGGGTCTTCTCTCCGTAAGGTGAGTACCAGAGTTCTGGCACTTCTTCCTCAGCTGGAGCTACGCGCTCCACCGTCTCCTTTCTCACAAGTTCTTTCACAAAGCTTCTCGCCAGACACATCAGCGAAAAAGCCAAAGCCAAGGAAACCATGGCGACAGCTACCTGTTGTTCCTGTGATAGCTTCATCGCTCCCAAGAGGTCTGAATCAGGGAGCTCCGCTATCATGTTGAAACTAAAGGCTTCTCAAGCCTTCCTTCCCACTCTACTCACAAACACACTTTTCTCACTTCGCGGGCTGACTTGCTTAAGCCTCCGTGTCGCGGTTCACACACATGTTTCATGTGTTCTCGTGATTACTTTACACACTCTACTTGGGACTACGTGCACTAGGTTACAAACGAACAGAGAAGCAAAACTTCAAGCCTTTAAAAGATCGTCGATCTACTTGCGAGCCCTCGTCTTGGGACCGGCTTTCGCTTTGGCTCCAACCTTGGCCTTGGGTGCTGCAGCCTTCAGGTGCAGCTGAACGTGGTTGCGTCCAACCTTGTATGCGACATTGGCGGTGCTCAGATCGTGAATCCGATCTTCCAGCTCCTTGCCCTTAAGGCCCTTGGAGATGCAATCCTGCCGGAGAGCAATATTCAGGGCTCTTCAGTGATTGGGATTATTACTTAGGGGTTAAGGCTAGACTACTTGGAAGGGCAGGGGACTTAGTAAGTAGGTTATAAGTAGGGTTGTAATTGGGGTAGCTCCATTTAGGGTACCTACAACTCTACTTATAACCTACTTACTAAGTCCCCTGCCCTTCCAAGTATTTGTTGTATATACTGTGGTAGAAATCCGGATCAGGAGGGTTTAGACATCCAAAGTGCCCACCTTCAAAAGGTTTGCAATGCGTGAGCAATAGAATCAGGGATGTAGTGTGGATCTGTGTGGGCCTACTTATATCTTAAAGTGGCCACTAGGGTTTCGAGATATTAATTATAAGTTCTGAGTCCAGGATTTAGGTTGAAGCTCATATTGGCATAAAGCTTTTAGTGCCCACGATCCTCCAACTCCTTGGCGCTCGCTTCAAGCGACTTGAAGTGAACCTGCATGGAGCTGCACAATGCCTCCACAAGATCGGTTTGCCTCAGAGCGACATAGCTTAATATGTTCGCTTGGAATATTTTGGGAACTTGGCTTTCAGGGATCGGGGCATTTTGGGAGTTGGGTTAGTGAAGGCTTCTGGGTTTCGGTTTGAGCAGCCGAAAAAATATTCATGCTAACACCTCGAAAAGGGTTTCGGGTTTCTATATTACTAGACACCGATGGAAAAACTTCAGGTTGCATCTTATCGGGCTTTTACGTGTCGATGCTTGTCTCGCTATTATTGGCTAGCTAGTAATTATATATATAGGGGACCCGGTGGTGGTGTGGCTCATTTGCTAACATATAATATGTGGGTACTTATAATACCTAAGGACTTAGGGGTACGGCTGGCGGTTCGGGATTACAACGATGGGTTTGTTTGGGTTGATTGAAAGTTGCTGGGGCCAGATTTCCACATCTCGGTTCAAGGCTTCGTTGTTGTTTTCAGGGCTCCGGTTTCAGATTAAAGGATCCGGACTAGGGTCCATCTTAATGTTTAGGGTCTTGGGATTTGATGTATATGGGAGTGAACATAAAATTTATGTGCATGGCAGCCCGGTCACACCTTGTTGGCGTCCAGCTTCGTCCTGACACCTTTGATCTCCAGCATGTTGCTGTTGGCCATCTGAAGCGCCTCAGATAGTATTAGGACATGCAAGTTAATATATATATATACAACACGTTAAAACCAGGAACGATGATTTTCGTTAATGCTAGTATTCCGAATCTAATGCATCGACGGTACAGACTTGGCTAGAGCCTCTGTCGTCTTTGCTTTGACAGTCTTGGCTTCGCGATGCTTCTCCGGCTTGTTGCTGCGACCGCTCCCTGAGTTGCCCCCTGTGGAGCCGTCGTTATCCGCATCCGCCACACCTTCCATGTTTGGGGCCTCAGCCTCACGCTCGTACGTGAAGCCGATTTCGTCGATGTCCAAGGCCACCCCTTCTCGGAATCCCACACCTTGTAGAGGCGGTTCTTCTTGCGGGTCTCCTCCTGGTCTGATGTATTCGTTATCCACATATATATATAAGAAATATTAGCACGAAAACCTACATATATCTTAATTTTAATATAATTGCCCTATATGATCATGTACATGTACGGGACACCCGGGTAGACATATGCTAAAGTCGACCGTAACTTCAGAGTCGATGCTCCGGCGCATTGCGGAAGTCCGGGTGCTCCTTCCACATGGAGGAATCAGCCTCCTGCGGTACATATATTGATAATGATAATCGTGCTACATACACACATATCTATATATATATATATATATATACATATAGACTGGCAGCTAGAACAATTAAGAAATATGAGACGTATAGTATATATGGGTCAACATGAACTAGCTAGTGCAGGTTGCGGGCTTCGTGGTTTTCCAGGGAACCGATAAGATTTCGAGGCAAAGCCTTAGGGTTGCTCAGGGTGCGTTTTGAGACGGCAGATAGGATTGGGGATAACATTAATGTAGGGTTAGGAGCTGAAGTGTTCAGGATATGAGTTCATGCGGGGGGGGGGGTGGTTAGGGTACCGATATGGAGGATTCAGGATATAGTGTTCGTAGCATGAGTATAAGACCCTAAAGTTTCTAAAGCCCTAAACCCCACAGTGAAATCTCCTTCTCAGCCACCAGGATGTCGATATCCGCCTGGCTGTACTTGTTGGAGTTCAGCAGGTCCTGAGATTATTTATATCTATTATGAACCCATACACTCTGTTAACAGTAATATATATTAGACCGATCAAATATAATATAATAAGTACTTGACATATTATTCGTACTGAATATCAGCTAGGAAACTTGCCTGGTCTTCCAGCTGTGCACACCTTCTCGCGATACCGTTTTGCTCCAGCGGTGGATGGCTACCACCCTGGAGCTGCCCCACGCCTCTCCGCATGTGATGTACTCGCGGAAGAGCTCTTGGATTTTGCGAGCATCTTAGTGCACGTATCGACAAGCTCCGTGTATGATCTAAAGCAATTACTTATTATTATTAATATCCACTTATCCCAAACAACACTTCTAGGAACCGGTACGGGTTTGGGGGTTAGGGCCTTAATGGTTCAGACATACAATGCATGAACCACTGCATCTGAGGAATATATCTCCAAGCTGCCCTTCTTGCCTTCATGGGCCTTTCGCCACTCCGTCAGGACAGCAGCAGGGCATGCTTTGCCTGAGTTGTAAGAAACTAATGAAAGGTTTAGGGTTTAATAGGGGGGGGTTAGGGCTTGGGGTCCAGGGTTTAAGGGTATAATAAGGTTTATCGGTATTTAACCGCTTGGTTAGTATATAGGGGTTCGGGCTCTAGATCTAGGGTTAACGTTGAAGAGCATATAAGATTAAAGGGGTCTAGGGGTATAATCTATTTAACAAATCTAATGCAGTTGAAAAACCTTCGAAGCTCCGGAGGAATCGCATGTAAGCTGGCCTGCGCCCGGCAGCCTGCACAAGTATACTAGGCTATATAATGACGTCGGTATCTGCCATTACATACATAAACATATATATATATATATGTGTGTACATTTATTTGTACATTAAATATTCTAATGACATTCGAGATATCATGTTCTATGTATATATATATATATGTAGTATTCTAAGACCCCGGGCCTGGACTTCCTCCGGTGACATCTGAGCAAGTGCCTGGGCTTTCTCGAGGTCGGTGAGTGGCAACTGCTTGTCGGATTCCTGCTGCTGTCGTGTGGGCACTTGCGGGCACTGCGGGGCCTGCGGGTTCGAAGGCTGCTGCGGTTGCGTCTGCGGGGCCTGTGAGGGGTGCTGCAGTTGCGTCTGCGGGGCCTGCGAGGGGTGCTGCGGTTGCATCTGTGGGGCCTGCGGTGCTTGCGGCATGTCAACATCGGGGGCATGCACAGGCTCGGTGGGTGTTGCCTGCACTGCTGCTGCTGCTGCCCAAGTCGGTACAGGAGGCAGGGTTTTGCTTTGCACTGCGGGTACCGGCACCAATGCTGCTGCTGGGTCTGCTGGGGCCGTCGCGGGAGGCTCCGAAGTCGAAATCAACCTTGCCAAAGCTTCAAAGTCCGGGGTGTTGCATCTCTGCAGAATGGCTTCGCGTGTAAAGTTTTGGCTCAGGTCCGGGTTCGACAGTGCTCGGCTCAGGTCGTGTATACGACTTGCTAGCATTTGTACCACGGCATCCTGGGCGGGCTCGGTCGTAGGAGGTCCTTGCTGCACCGTAGTAGGAACTGCTTGAAGGACTGCTGTAGCTGCGGGGGCAGGAGTCGAGGCCAGTCCTTCAGCTGTGCCCAGGGGTAGTCCTTGCTGCTGGGTCACCGTAGTAGGAACTGCTTCTGCTGTGGCCACTTGTTGTCCTGCTTGCTGAGTCACCGTAGTAGGAAGTGCTTCTGCGGTTGTCACGGGTCCTTGCTGCTGGGTCAGTGCAGTAGGAACTGCTCCCGCTGTGGCCAAGGGTGTAGGAACTGCTTCCATTGCGGCTGGCTGCTGGGTCAGCGTAGCAGGAACTGCTTGTGCGGTGGTCACGGGTCCTTGCTGCTGGGTCAGTGTAGCAGGAAGTGCTTGTGCGGTGGTCACGGGTCCTTGCTGCTGGGTCAGTGTAGCAGGAACTGCTTGTGCTGTGGTCACGGGTCCTTGCTGCTGGGTCAGTGTAGCAGGAACTGCTTCTGCGGTGGTCACGGGTCCTTACTGCTGGGTCAGTGTAGCAGGAACTGCTTCTGCTGTGGTCACGGGTCCTTGCTGCTGGGTCAGTGTAGCAGGAACTGCTTCTGCTGTGGTCACGGGTCCTTGCTGCGGCTGCAGGGTCAGCGTAGTAGGAACTGCTTCCGCAGTGGTGACGGGTCCTTGCTGCAGGGTCAGCGTCGTAGGAGCTGCTCCCGCTGTGGTCACGGGTCCTTGCTGCGGGGTCAGTGTAGTAGGAGCTGCTCCCGCTGTGGTCACGGGTGGTGTGGCTTGCTCCGGATCCTGCTGGGTCACCGGTACCGGAACTGCTGGGGCTGTCACCGGAGCTGCTGGCGCTGAAACCACTGCCTCTTGCTCTGCTGGGGCCACCGGCGGTGCTGTTGCTTGCTGGGTTACCGTTGGCGCTGGGGCTAGTGGCATCGCATGATCACCGTCGGCATCAACATCCATAGCCTTACATGTACCATTAACCCGTTATAGCCTAAAGCATTTTCGTTCGAATCTGTACTAAATCGATAAAGACTACTACCCTATGACCAATAATACATATGCATACATATATATATATATACACATGTTATTTTAGAATATATAAATACATATATATATGTATATATATATATATACAAGTATAAACAAATAAATATATATATATATATATATATATATATATACACATACTTGAACCACACATATATATATACACATAAAGTACACGTATGGTACCAAGACTCTTCGAGTCCGGACTCGAGCATCGCAATGTCGTTGTCGATCTGGGTTTCGAGGTCTGCAACACCATCCACGTCCAGTGTTCCAGTACGTGTAAGCCCGGCAGCAGCACGGGCCTGCCCCGCTAGCTGCTAGCTAGAGCACTTTAGCTTGTAATTATTTACAGCCAGCTAGCTCACAAATAATCGTTTATCCGAGTTCTCAGGGATTTCGGGGTCTAGGGCCTAGGGGTTTAGGTTTAGGTAGGGTTCATGGGATCTAGGTCTTTGATCTGTACAGCGAAAATATGGATAATAATTACGGGCATTTGCTACCCAGTTATATATTAGGGTGCAAGATATGTAGAGTACTCAGGGTTATTGCTGCAGGGTCGGAAGTGTGGCAGGGCAGGGTTCATCAGGGTTTCTAGTTTGCTCACGGTTTTAGTTCGTTTTATCCTGAGCCCCGATTAATCGTATCACTACCGAGAAGCAATTCCAACCCCGATATCGCCTCCCATCCCTCCATTGCATGTATATTCATTATTTCCAGAAGAAACCCAATACCAGAATCAATTCTCAGCTTTACAGCATCTCCTGCTGCACGGTAGCCGGCGTAGCCACCTCACTCATCGATTCCAGCGACAAGGCACGCCCCGCATGCCCAGCCGGTGCTGGTGAGCTACCTTGGCTGAAATGCGGCTGTGCTATACAAAGGCATTTGGCTATAGTTAGGGTTACAGGATATCGGGGGTTATAGCATGCCAGGGTTAGAGGCTTTAGGGTCAAGGGTCCAATCGATATGGATATGAGGTCTTGCTTTTTTTGCGAAGATGGTACTCTCCTGAAAAGACAGCTTCTTCGAAGGATTGGTGGGTGTAGCCGTCATCGTCTCCAGTCGCTTCGGGTCCGGGGTCTTCGTAGAAGGGGTGGCCGTGGCGGACGACACATGCGTGCGCTTCAGCACACCACCGGGTCCGGACGTAGTTTCCTCACTTATGACATGTAATCTTGCATTATATAGTCCCAAATCACAAATCACTCGTCCTTCTGCTGGACCTGCAGCGCTACCATGCGACGTCGAGCACCCATCGCCAATGCTTGGGCTGCCACCTTGATATATACAGGGGCCCGGTACGTATAGGTGGAGTATATTTGATGTGCATGATCCCTGGCGCATGACCCCGATGCCGAGCGGCATCCTCGAATCCATGTGCTTCACGCGGGGATTCGGGAGGAATCCGATCCATGCCGGCTCGTTATGATCGATCTACAATCTGGAAAACAAAAGAAAGATCTGAAGCCCAAGCACGTCACGCGAAATCACGCCTAATCACGCCCTGTGGTTTCTGGCTTAATTACAAGCAAAGCTGATCACGCGGATCACGGGGAGGCCCATCACGCAGAATCACGCCTTTTCACGGCGCTGTGGTCCGGTATTGGATCAATCAAAACTCTGAGCTTTGAAGCTCGGGGTGGATGCAAATTCGGTGTCCAACGTTAAGGATCCACCCGAGCACTTGAATGAGGCGGACTATTGTGATTTTCTGGCATCAGCCGTCCAAGCACTGGGTTGCTGAGGGGTTGTTGTAGGGGTACATCGGGTTTGGGCCTCAACTGAGCCTAATTATGGGGCCCTACTTGGCCGTGTGTGAAACAAATCCGGAACCCAGCGTCCTTTCTCAGCTTCCAGCTTCAGGAAAGCCACGATATTCTTCTGGAAGTGGTCATGCTGCCACAGATCCTGGGATATGAGCAGCTGGTGCTCCTGATTTATATTGGGTAAGTAACTTTAGGTGTAAGAGTTAAGGTTTAATTCTCGAAGTCTAGATGTTATATGGCCAGGAATTACGGTATGTTGGTACTACTACAGAATTTAAGTACTGCTGCCAGTAATACTATTATAACAAGCTGGTACTACGTTACTAGATAGTACTAATATTTTGCTAATATAGATAGTACTACTGATAATACTAGTGGTTTAGTTACAACAACAATACCTCCTCCTACTACTACTACTACTACCACTGCTACTACTGCTGCTAGTAACTATTACTACTACTACGACTACAAGAATTGGCAGTAGACCCCCCACCCCCCCCTCCCCCCTAATAATGACCCTTAAAGAGCCTTGCACAACGGCCGAAGGGTTTTTTCCGTGTTTGCCTCAAAATAGGGAAAACCGTGCTGAGACATCCCAAGAACCGGCTGATGCACATGATGCTGGTCTCCTCCCGCACCCGCCCCACCCACCCACCCACTGATGCTCATGATGCTGGCCCCCTCCCCGTACCAGCACCAGCACCAGTACCTATACGACTACTACGACGACTACTACTACTGCACGAATCATGTATGTCACAGGCATGTTATTGCGAAGCATTGTTAGTTGCAACATCATACCGTGCTGGACTCCTGGACACAAAGTTGGAGCCCTTTTTGCCGGTTGTTTGAAAATTAAGCATCAACACGGTTTGAGACAAAATTGGAGCCCCTCTTTTTTCTGTTGTTTGTAAAAATAGTAAAACACATCTACTTTTACTATTACTATGATTATTACTATTACTATTACTATGACTATGACTATGACTATGACTATTACTATTACTATGACTATGACTATGACTATGACTATGACTATGACTATGACTATTGCTATTGCTATTGCTATTGCTATTGCTATTGCTATTGCTATTGCTATTACTACTACTATGACTACGACTATTACTATTACTATTACAATTACAATTGCTATTACTACTAGGATTACTACTACTACTACTACTACTACTACTACTACTACTACCAGTACTACGACTACTACGACGACGACGACTACTACTACTACTATTACTACAATTATTACTACTACTACTACTACTACTACTACTACTACTATTACTACTACTACTACTACTACTACTACTACTACTACTACTACGACCAGGACTACGATTCGGACAACGGTGTTAGGAGTCGTAGTAGTAGTGTAGTAGTAGTCGTCGTAGAAGTAGTAGTAGTAATAATACCAGTAGTAGTTGCACTAGTAGCAGCAGCAGGAGGAGGAGTAGTAGTACTAGGCCCGGTTGCCGAAAGTACCCATGTTCTTGCACCCTTTCCCCCACCAAGTCACTCCCCGCCACCGGAAAAGAACCCCCCCCCTGCGCATGAAGTTGCCACTGACGAGACGAGCCCTACCGAGGGGGAGCCAGGCACATTAACGGCTCCCCCCACACCACTGGCCGGGTGTGGGGCGGTGGTACGCAGATCCTTCCAGCAACCCTCTTTGAGGCCAACACGCCAGTGCCGGCGTATGACAGTGGGACAATGGGCTAGCGTGCTCACTGGGGATGGGTTGCTGGAAGGCCCTGCGGGAATCTGCAGGTGTTGCGGCTGCCTAGAACGGAAGGCCCACTTTGTTCATGTGCTTTGAAGCTTGTTGCATGGTTGTGAAGGTGTTGGTACCCGTGGCGGTAGCGGTGGTAGTGGTGCAGGTAGTAGTGTAGTAGCAGCGGTATAGTATAGTAGAGTCGAAGTAGACCGGTCGGGCGGGGGTACCGTACAGTGGGCCGGGCTAGTGGATGGGTTGGGGGAGCCAGAAGTTGTGCTTCTTTTACTGGGTGAATGCATGGGGGGTGTGTTGAGCCCTGCTGATCGGGTGAGCCCAGGCACATCCCACCTTGTTTACACGTGCTGTGAAGCTTCTTGCAGTGCCTGTACAGAGCAGATTGTGGAGGTGTTGCTAGTGGCAGTAGTAGCAGTAGTAGTAGTAGTAGTAGTAGTACACTACCACCACCACTACTATTATTATTACAACTACTTACTATAGTATATAGGAAAACTATTACTCCTATACTACCACCACTATGACTACTACTAGTACTAGTACTAGTCCTACCTCGGCACTACATTATTTGATGTCTTGGTACGACCGAAAAGCGTGGGCTGGGATTTGACCGCAGGGTTGGAATCCTAGACTGGCCAAAAGAGGATGCTAGTCAAGGGCGCTCCGTTCGGTTGCGGAAGGTTTTTCCACCCACATGTTGTAGTAGTAGTAGTCCAAAAGCCCGTTAAACCCTGACAACCCGAAACCCTACAGCCATACCGACCACAACAGAAAAGCTCACGAATCCCAAAAGCCCAAACCTCGTTCTTCCCTAGACGTAGGTTGCTGGAGCCCCATCAACCGAAATCTAAACAATCTCTCTATCCAAACAACACCTGGTAGCCATGCCTGCATGTCTGAAATATGTGTGATATTACAAAGCATGTGCAACCTTGAACTGTGAAGCCTCTAAGCCGAAACTCCTGCTAACGTGCTTTAAACACCACCATGTCTGCAACCCTTTAACCCGAACTCATAAACTCTAACCCCTAGCCACATCGAAGCATTAGCCGTATAGATACTGCCAGTATAGCTGAAGCTCTAGATCACCATTAGGCAAACGACGTCAACTGGTGGCGGCTGCATGGCCTTTATGTCCGGGATGCGCCCAGCAATGCCATCCTGGAATGTATCCAGATCTACAATGGATTTCTTATAGTAGGGTTCGGGCGTTGAAAGCAGGTTCGCGCTTGGGTGATTAGGGCTGAAGGAATGAGGGGTTAAGGGTTTGGGGTTAGAGTTTCCGGGCTTGGGGTTTAGAGATTTTAAAGTTTAGAGTATCGGAATCACAAGGGTCTCAGGCAGGGTTGGTGTCCTCAGATCAGGAGAATCACCCTAACACGTCGCGAACCTATACC